AACAGAGGGTCTTTAAAAGCTGATTAAGTTATGGTAAACAATAATTGCGCCTAACATCTACTGCACATATCTTCAAGTCAACATTCAATTCTGGACACATACCAAGTACTCAGATAAACATTTATTTATTTATTACAACAGAGCCTTGCTCTGTTACCCAGGCTGGGGTGTAGTTGTGTGATCACAGCTCACTACAACCTCTAACTCCTAGGCTCAAGCGATCCACCTGCCTCAGCCTCCCAAGTATTAATAACTAAGACTACAGGTGCCCACCACCATGCCCACCTGACTTTTCTTTCTTTCTTTTTTTTTTTTTTTTTTTTTTTTAGAGATGGGGTCTTGCTGCCCAGGCTGGTCTTGAACTTCCAGCCTCAAGGGATTCTCTTACCTCAGCCTCTCAAAGCACTGGGATTATAGATGTGAGCCACTGTACTCAGCCAACCGCTAACATTTATCGAACACTATGTATTAGAAACTGTTCTAAGTATTTTATCTATATTATTTCACTTAACCATCACAACAAAAACACAATGAGACAGGTACCATTAATAGTTCCATTTTACAGAGAAGGAACTGGGACATACTGAGGCTCAATAATATGCTCACTGTGCCACAGCTTACTAACGACTGGAGCCGGGGTTCAAACCCAGGTAGTCTGACGTCAAAGCTTCTCACCACTATGCCATGATAAAGGAAGGAAGAAATGGAGGAGCAGAGACAGCAGCAGATGGCCTGGAGGGCCCACCAGCAATGCCAGAAGTTTAGGCGGGAAGGATGGCCATGTCATATGGAGGAAACACGGACACAGTGAAGCCTGTGCCAACTCGATTTTAAGTGAACTGCCTGGCTCTTCCAAGCATTCCATCAATGCTGGGGGGAGAATGAAGCAAACTGTCCTAACCAGATACTCTGGAGCCATCTTTGGCTTCTCTAACAACCTAGCTGGGATACACAAGACCAAACCAGATGAAGGAGGAATGAAAGAAAGTCAGTGCTCAGTTATAAGTTTCAGAAAACAGGTGCAACAGAAGTTCCGAAAAGAATGAGGTCAGCTGATTCTGAAACCAGTTGAGGACGGCTTCAGGGAGAGATGAGAGAAAAGGATGAGCAGAGCTTTGAAAGGCAAGCAGAGGGATGTCAGAAGACTGGAGAACAGCAGGCACAGGGCGAAGAGGAGGTACAGCAGAGCCCGAGAGAAGACAAAGCCCGGGTAGGAGACCCCACCTCCAGTTCTCCCTGGACAGGAAGTGATGATGAAGCTACTGCTCTCTGGATGGCTGCTTCCAGATGGATTATTTAAACACTCTTCTCCATCTCCCAGCAGCAGGGCTCTTTCTGGCTCTCTTTCTCCCACCTAACATCTGTCCCCTGCAACTAGAGTAAGGAGATTTAATCAGGAGACCATTCCCGAGTCATCAGACTCCAAGAGCTTACCACATACCAGGCACTGGGTAAAGCTCCAGGCTGAGTTCTTAACTAGGGATCCATGGACAGGGGTCAGGGGCCTGTGCCACCCTCTGTCACCCAGGCTAGAGTTCAGTGGTGCAATCTTGGCTTACTGCAACCTCTGCCTCCCGGGCTCAAGTGATCCTGAGCCTCTCAAGTAGCTGGGACTATAGTAGTGGCACCACTTCCAGCTAATTCTTGTATTTTTTGTAGAGACAGGGTTTCACTATGTCGCCCAAGCTGACCTTGAACTCCTGGACTCAAGCGATCCACCCATCTTGGCCTCCCAAAGTGCTGGGATTACAGGTGTGCACCACCATGCTTGGCCTGGGCTAATTTTTAAATTTTATGTAGAGACAGGGTCTCACTGTGTTGCCCAGGCTGGTCTCGAACTCGTGGGCTCAAGCCATCCTCCTGCCTCAGTCTCCCAAAGTGCTAGGATTACAGTCTCCCAAAGTGCTAGGATTACACCGCGCCTGGCCTCTTCATCAGATTCTTACAGGTGCATGTGATCCACAAAAGGTTAAAAATCTCCTTCGGCTGAGGAAAAAAAATAAAAATAATAAATAAATAAATAAAAATCTCTGCACTAGGGAGACAAAGAGGGGAAAATGCCCAGGTCCAGCACTCCAGAAATTTACAATCTCATGGGGGAAGACAAACACAGACAAAAATAACTCTGATGCAAGGCTGACTGTTAAAAGTGCGCTAATGGAGGTGTGGAAAAAAATGCTGTAAGAGGAAGAGACAGGGTTAATTCAGGCTGGCTTTCAATAGGACGTCCCCTATCCCCTCATACTGGTTTTGGGATCTGGGTTTGTGATAAAGAAGAAACAGTCACTACCATTTTCTGCCCAGCCCAGACAGTCTTTAGCCAGTACTTCTTCCTCAAGCACTCCTGGTAGAAAACTCAAGTCTGAGGCTGACTCTATTCCTGCCAGTGAGGTGAAGGAGAACCTTGTTTTCAGGACAACAGGAGTAGGAAGGAGACACTTATCCTGAAAACCAGTGATGACTCTTTTCTACATTTTTTTCTTCTTCTACCCAGCTCCCATTCTCCAAATCCCTGAGGTCTTTGTAATCCTGACACCCTTTTGGTATCAGTCCTCCAGGCCTGAGTTATCTGTTTTAGGATTGTCACTCCAAGCTAGTCCCTTACTGTTTCTGTTTCTTCCCAGGTAGCGTCACCATCGCAAATCCTGATCTGTTTGTTTACCCGATTACCCTGTCTCTTCCTCACCAGAAATGCATGCTGTGTGATGGCAAACTCTTTCAACTTCTTGTTCCCTGTGATGTCCCAAAACCTAGAGCACAGCCTGGCATATAATAAGATCTCAGTAAAACCCTGCTGAATGAATGAGTCTGCCTTCCCACCCTTTGCATTCTTCTGTAGGACCACCATGGTACCCAAGCCCCAGAGAGAAAAGTACAAGGACAAATGAACGCAGATTTTTCCTTAGGAGATCATTTCTGAGATGCTGGGTGCACAAGAAAACACTTATTTAAATGATGGTGGCAGAGTACAGCCAGAGAACCATGTGTGAAACCCATAACATTAGTATTCTATCACCTTCTACATCAGCCCTACCGCCAAACTGTCGCTTCCCGCCTTGAGATGTCTCAGCTTTTATCTGTCACCCCTTCAATGTAGGCACTCACCACCCACCCCCCTGGGTCACTGCAGTAACACCTGAGCAACCTCACTATGTCCCAGCCATCCTGCAAACTTCCAACAGCATAATCGACCTACATAGTAAAGCCCTCCATAAGGTAGGAGAAATCTCCAGCAGCCAAAATACGAAGATGTAAACATCAAAGCAGTAAGCAGATGCTAACATATTAGCAGCCTCTTAGTTTGGGGCAACCAACAATTTTAGATAATTAAATAAATTTATTTTAAATTTTTAAATGCAGAAGAACAATGCAGTATTTTTATTTTTATTATTTATTTTTTTGAGACAGAGTCTTACTCTGTTACCCAGGCTGAAGTGCAATGGCACAATCTCAGCTCACTGCAACCTCTGCCTCCTGGGTTCAAGTGATTCTCCTGCCTCAGCCTCCAGAGTAGCTGGGATTACAGATGTGCACCACTGTGCCTGGCTAATTTTTGTATTTTTAGTAGAGACAGGGTTTTGCCATGTTGGCCAGGGTGGTCTTGAACTCCTGATATCAAGTGATCTCCTCACCTTGGCCTCCCAAAGTGCTCGGATTATAAGTGTGTGCCACCTCGCCCAGCCACAGTATAGTATTTTTAAAGGGACCCAGCAAATTTGAAATAGAACAAAGTAAAACTTATTAAAAAATACAGTCACTAGGCTGGGCAAAGTGGCCTACACCTGTAATCTCAGCACTTTGGGAGGCAGAGGCGGGTGTATCACCTGAGGTCAGGAGTTCGAGACCAGCCTGGCCAACATAGCAAAACCCATCTCTACTAAAAGTACAAAAATTAGCTGGGGGTGGTGGCACACACCTGTAATCCCAGCTACTCAGGAGGCTGAGGCAGGAGAATCGCTTGAACCTTGTGGGGCGGAGGTTAGAGTAAGTTGAGACTGCATCACTGCACTTCAGCCTGGGCAACAGAGGGAGATTACATCTCAAAAAAAAAAAAAAAAAAAAAAATACAGTCACTAAAATGAAAAAATGGGATAAATGTTTCTCCCTCATTTCTCTACCCATTTTCTGTGCCTGTACAATCTCCCCTGCCTTCTGCTGTTGGAAGTTATTCACCTGGCATGTGCTCCCCATCTCCACCTCTCTTTCCCAGGCCCTCTGCTCAGCTGAAATGAAAAGAAGGAGACCCAGGACACAGAGTACATATTGCGCTGTGTGCCTGGTCCATGAGGGAATCCTCCCCATCCTCACTCTTCCTGCCCACCTTTGCCTGAGAGGTGCTGGTGAGCAGCTGGGACCAGCTGGCTGGCAAGGGAGGTGTGCATGAGCACACGCCACACACATTCGTTTGAACCCAGGCTTGGCAGGCAGGGTGGAAAGGAGTGGATCAGAGGATTTGTAAGAAGATCTCAGCAGAGAGGCCTTTCATCTTTGAGGCAACTGCTTGTACGGAGACCATGTTGTCAGAGATGACCTTGGAGGCCAAAGCAGTCAGAACTACTGGGAGAGCTGCCACCTCCTGGTTCAGGCAACTGAGCCTTGGAAAGACCAGTGCCAGAATGTCAAAGATATTCCTTTCTGACTGTCCCCTTCACCCCTTAGTGACATGGGCAAGTTCCAAATCTGCTCCTGCAAAGAAGCATCTCACTCCAAAGATTACAGAACTGAAGCCCTCAAAAGGACAGGAAATTAGTTTCAGGTAAACTGATTTCCTGAAAACAGGAAACCAGGAAAATCAGTTACAAAGCTAGGATGTACAAGGAGAAAACTGGCTGGACACAGTGGTTCACGCCTGTAATCCCAGCACTTTGAGAGGCTAAGGAGGGAGGATCGCTTGAGCCTAGGAGATCAGGACCAGCCTGGACAACATAGTGAGATCCCATCTCTAAAAAAATATATTTTTTACATAAATGAGATAACTGCCATGTGTTCCTGTCTTCCAGTCCCAGAAATCTCAGCATGTACTCAGGGGCATACAGCAGAGTGAGAGGCTACCGCTTCCCAATTGCTGTGCTTCTGCGTTCTGGTACAGCCCCCCAAATAGCTCTCATTCTCAGCAAAATCCTTGACTCTTGACCTGGCCCCCTCCCCTAATATAAATCTTTGCCAGGGATGGAAAGATGCAGGCACTGCTGAACATCACGCAGGGAAAAAGTGATTAAAGAATGTGTATTTGGTGGCAGGTGCTGGACACGGATGGCATAGTGACCACTGGGGGACTGGACACAGCTGTGTCATGGGCTGAGAAGTTGAAGAGCCACTGGTAAATGGGCCAGTTGAAGAATGTGTCTATTCGCTTCTCCTGCCCAGCCGTTCTCTCAAACTCCTATCAAACTGAGAGGGAAGAGATGGGAACCAGCATACATTGAGTTCCTAATATGTGCTAGGCTCACTAAATCTCATTTAGTCATAAGAAAAGCTCTACAGGAACGGCGTTATAGCCCCACTATGCAGACAAGACCCCTGAGACTCAGAAAGGAATAAATACCTTCTACAAGGTCCCACAATTGGTAATAGAGCTTGAACTTGAACTTTGCCTGTTTTCAAACGCCACAATTTTTTCCAGTAATTATCAATGCTTTTCAGTCCACTCAGTCTGCCACAAAAAAGTAAATGTTCCATAAACATTTTGCTTTAAGTTTAGAATGAATTGCTTCTGCAGCCATTCAGGGTTTGCAAATTAAATAGAAATTGCAAAATACGCAACACTCAATTTCTTGACCATTTATAAATAAAATCCTTGGTCAACCTGGAATGCCATTTCTTTATTTCCACTCCCACTTCTCTCTATTCTCTTCCCATTCGTAGGCCCTCTTTCTGAGTCGTGTGGCCACAAAGCAGAATTTTAGCTGTGCAGAGTGGGACACACGTGTAGCCTCTGCTAGGCACCACAAGAACACAGTTTCAAAGAAGAAATGGGTGGAAGAGACAGACAAAGTGTATTCCCTGAGCAGGGATTCTCAGCTGCTAATAGAGGGGCTAGGGGCTGGATGTCTAAATTAGTTTGTGACTTTATGCATCCAAAAGCAACAGGCTGGCAGCGGCCACAGATCTTCACATTGAGGTGTCCTTGCTGGTGTGAGGAGCTTCCTCCCAGACCTTTGCGGGGATGGGCACCCACACAGCAAACCAGTTTCTGGCCTTCCTGGTCAGTCTCAGTTGTTCTCCTGGTAGTGTCAAGGATGCGCCAAGTTTTATTGAATTTGCCTTGTATGGGGTCATGATTTTCAACAAAGGTGGCTCAGGACCCAACATCTGTCAGTAAATTCCAAGCTTTTGATAGTCTTCTGCTATGGAAAGAGGTAATAAATTTGTGGATGTGATTCAACTTTTCAGTACCCAAATAAAGACCCCCAAAAGGTCAGGGCAATACTATTTTGACTTTTTAAGTTTTTAAATACAGACTTTTTGTCTATGGCATCCTGGAATCCAACCTCTTGTTATCACTGCTTATTATACTTTATTTTTGCAACAATGTCTAGGTAGAGTGGTGGCATTTTAGGTGCTCATTTCTTCTTCACACTTGTATGCATAACATAGTGCTCTTGCTGATTTATTATATGCCTTGATTTGGTCTAGGAAAAATTAAAGTAACTTACAAAAATTAAAGTAGCTTAGAATATAAGATGACATAAACTGGAAATGGTTGGTTGTGGGGGTGGGGAGATAAAGATACAGGCATAAAATTAGTAGAAAAATACAGATTATAAAATCCTTTACACTTTTCTCCAGGTGAGGAAAAAACTGAATCCCAAAGCTTTCTAGTAAACAACACAAAGAGAGAAATCAGAATGATTATGCAACTTACATGACCAATAAAAATTAAAACAAACAGCTCAAGAGAAGCACAGCTATTTCCAAGATCAAGACCAGAAGAAACATGTTTAGAGAATTCTCACATATGGATGAGCAGCAGTTCTCAATTCCACTCTGGCAGAGAGCTACCAGAGAATTTCAGAGGCTGTGTATCCTATAGCTTTTAGGCCCCTGGTCTTCCTTGGCCTTAGGTTATTTTATTAGTGATGCTGTGGTGCCTAAAGGCAAAAAAGTACTTTCACAGGAGTTAATGTGGTCCAGATACATGGCTGTTATCTAGTATAATACGCATGCATTCTTTTTTTTTTTTTTTTTTTTTTTTTTTTTTTGAGATCGAGTCTTGCTCTGTCGCCAAGCTGGAGTGCAGTGGCGCGATCTTGGCTCACTGCAACCTCCTCTCCTGGGTTCAAGTGATTCCCCTGCCCCAGCCTCCTGAATAGCTGCGACTATAGGCAAGTGCCACCACGCCTAGCTAATTTTTTGTATTTTAGTAGAGACAAGGTTTCACCATGTTGGCCAGGATGGTCTTGATCTCCTGACCTCAAGTTCCGCCTGCCTCAGCCTCCCAATGTCCTGGGACTACAGGCGTGAGCCACCATGCCTGGCCCAAGCATGCATTATTTTTATCCTTATTTTATTTTATTTATATATATTTTTTGAGACAGAGTCTCCCTCTGTTATCCAGGCTGGAGTGCAGTGGTGGAATCTTGGCTCACTGCAACCTTAGCCTCTCAGGTTCAAGTGATTCTTGTGCCTCAGCCTCCTGAGTAGCTGGGACTACAGGTGCACACCATCATACTCAGCTAATTTAGTAGAGATGAGGTTTTATCATGTTGGCCAGGTGGCTGGTTTCGAACTCCTGACCTCAAGTGATCTGCCCACCTCAGCCTCCCAAAGTGCTGGGACTACAGGCATGAGCCACCACACCCAGATGCATCATTTTTATAATCATAAAGAATATCACTTTAAAATGAGAGAGAGCACAGTGGCTCACTCCTATAATTGAGCTCAGGAATTCAAGGGTACAATAAGCTAAGATCACATCATTGCGCTCCAGCTTGAGAGACAGAGTAAGACCAGTCTCAAAAAATAATTTCATTAATTTAATTTAAAAATTTTTTGAATAAAAAAGCACAATCTGTATTATTCCATTTATATAAAATATTAAAACATGCTAAATTAATCTATGCCGATGGTAGTGATTGACAGCCCCCTGTGGGGGCACTGCGATGCTGGTAATGTTCTGTTTCTTCATCATGGTGCTCATAATACAGGTATTTTCAGTTTGTGAAAACTGCTCATCAAGCTTTCTGTACATATACTTGAATAAAAAGAGGGACCACAGGAACGATCTGCACCTTTATCTTCTTAAAAAGTTGGTCAGTATCAGGCCTTTTGTTACAAAATCAAGAACATACTGGACATAAAAATAAATTATATACTAGGCCACGCACGATGGCTCACGCCTGTAATCCCAGCACTTTGGGAAGCCGAGGCGGGCAGATCAAGAGTTGAAGACCATCCTGTACCACACAGTGAAACACCATTTCTGGCTGTGGTGGCACACACCTGTACTCCTAGCTACTCGGGCCTGAACCTGGGAGGTGGAGAGGTTGCTGTGAGCCGAGATCATGCCATGGCATTCTAGCCTGGTGACAGAGCGAGACTCCGTCTCAAAAAAAATAAATAAATAAATAAAATAAATCATACACTAAAGTATCACAAGAACACAAAGAATATTCATTTTTGCTTAGCCAATGGATATTTCTAACATTCAAAGTACTACTTGTTAACTTGAGTCTGTAAAAATGGAAAGGTCTGTCATGCTTTGTTCAGAATGTATAACACATGCAGCCCAGTGCCCTTTTACAGCCACCATACAACTATTCTCACCTCTTCCACTTGCATTTTTGTATATTGGTTAATATATAAATCTATTAATTCTGTGAATCACAAGGTCAAAGGATTGAAAACTCCAAATGTCTGGTTCGCCTAGTTGAGACCACATAATCTTTACATATAAAGAAAAGCGCTTGTGGAAAATAAAAGTGTAGTTTTGAGACTGGTGGAACACTGTAGAGGAGAACTAGACAGTGAGCAGCCAACTCCAAGAACAGCCTCTAGGACTCCTTCCAAAGCAAACTCTCCTATGTCCGCTGCTCCGCTCTGCTCCATAAAGCTCAGTACTAGAGGGCTAGACCAGGCTCCATGGCCTGGAAAATTACTGCAGCGTACTTACCAGCCTCTCCTGAAACCAGCCCGGAAGCGCTTTCAGAAAACCTTGTGCTACAAAGCAGTTATAACCATGCACAGTGTCTGAACAACTCCCAGGACAGGGAGTGGCAGGCAGCCCCAGCACCACCAAGCAGGGGAAATCTCGGCTGAGATGTGGGTTCCTGGGTAGTAGGCAAAGTAAAGACAGCAGATGCGTTGCTGAGGTTCTGATGGCCACATCAGCACAGGGACTGAGAGACCAGGGAAAGGAGAGACTCTAAATATGGGTAAAGTCGCTTATTGTCAAAAACTGCATTCCTTGTATAGGCAATGACCAAAGAAAGCACATGATTTAAAAAAAAAGTCTTATCGTTTATCTTTTGTATTTGTATCCACAGGCTATTGTTGTGTATGGTACAGGGAACAAGAATTTCTAGGTTTTATTCTTAGATCAGTCCCTGATAAACACAGTATCTGCCAGTGGAAAATATCAGGTGCTTGGAAATTCAAAGCTGACACATTCATAACCAGAAGGTACTTATCTGAGCGCCTAGTATGTGCCCAGAATTGAATGTTGATTTAAAGACACACACAGTAGCCTGGTGACCTGAATGTCAGCATAAAGAGAGGTAAACAGGACACGTGAAAAGGAGCTAGAGGTTCCCTGGGACAGAGAGGCAGCCCAGCCAGAGCGGCATGAGACAGAGTCCCTGCCCGCAGGAGCATACGAGGCAGTTGTGCTTGCTGCTGTGCTGGGTTTCAACTCCATGCCACACTATCCCTCCTCTGCCCACACATCTGTCTCATTCGCTTCTCCCTCTCTCCCTGCCTGCATCTCAGTTTACTGCTCTGCCCTGCGTAACCTCTGTTACTGGAGGGTTTGTATCCTTTCCAAATCAGAATGGCTGTGGTGGTCAGGGCTGCAGTGACTGCCTCACACTGTGGGTGTGCCTCCCTCAGCCCACTCAAGTCAGCCAGAAGTCACAAAGGCCAACTAGAGAGACGTGGTACAGACAGAGGTAAGGCAGCGAAAGTCAATGGCTTTCTGAGCCTCGGAATACTTTGGGATTCAGCAAATAATCCCGGCACTTAAATGGGGATGTGCCAGACCCAGCTTTGGGAGATCTAAAAGAGGCCAGCGCATGCCTTCCTTCTGTCCTGGATTTGTACCCAAATGTCATCCACTGGCTCTGAGATGTTTCATCTCTAGAAACCATTTTTTCTTTTTTTAAGGTGGGGTCTTGCTCTGTCACCCAGGCTGGAATGCAGTGGTGCAATCTTGGCTTGGCTCACTGCAACTTCTACCTCCCGAGTTCAAGCGATTCTCTGGCCTCAGCTTCCCCAGTAGCTGGGTTTTTGTTTGTTTGTTTGTTTGTTTGTTTGTTTGTTTGTTTAGTAGAGATGGGGTTTTGCCATTTTGGCCAGGCTGGTTTTAAACTCTGATCTCAAATGATCCGCCCTCCTCAGCCTCCCAGAGTGCCGGGATTACAGGTGTAACCCACCGCCCCTGGCCTCTAGAAACCATTTTAGTCCAGAACTCTGTCTTCAGATAGAATCTTAGCTTATCCAATCTGAACAAATGGGTATATAACTTGTTAAAACCTGCCTGATTAGAGAATCGTTAACTTCCAATAACAGTTTGTTCCCAGGGCTGTTTTTCAGCCAGTACATACACCAGGATAGCCACATCACTTATTAAAACACTGAAATCCTTATGCATGCATTAGTACAGTGACTGCCCCAGGCCCTCTGAGTGTCCCACTGCCACCTGGACCCCCTCCCCAGGACAGCTTCATGACTCAGCAGCTAAAGGGTTAATGTTGGCCTCAACAAGGGGACTCATCAGGACCCTGTTCCAGAACCACCATGTCATACCAAAAGTATTGTTACCCTTCACTTGCCCCATTCTACAATGCTACCCTATTATAAAACTTTCAGCTGCTTTCTGCTAGCTACTGAATAAACACCACTCTTTAAGGTTTTTATTGTCTTCCACACGTAACATCATCCTCTATTCTCCTTATACCTTCTGTTTCACCAAACTCAGCTGTTCAATATTCTCAAATACAAACTTTTCCAGACTCTCAGTCTTTGTGTCGTTACTCTTTCTGTCTGGAATAGCCTTTCTGTATCCATCAAAATCTTACCAACTCTTCAAAATCTCCCCAAATGTCACCATTTCCATGAAATATTAGTTGGGAGAGCTGTTCCCCATTTCAAGAGGTGTCACAGAAACATACAGGTCCTATGTTTGCAAAACTTAATGACTTTTCTATTACAACCATTTTGATATAGGCATCTTAGCTCTCCTCCTAGATAAAGCTGTAGATGCTAGAAACCCCATCCTGGTCATCACACCTACCTGGCCCCACACAAGGCCTGGCTCCAGGTATGCGCTAAGTAAATATTTGTGTAAATGAATGAGTGAACAGTCCTAATTCTTTTGTCCATTTTCTATTTGCTAAGGATTTTGGTTGTTTTTCTCTGAAGACACTCCAGCTGTGGTTATATCTCCTTCTACATATGGAGCCCAAATTGTACATCATCCACATCTTAAACTACTGGGTTATTTCATGAAGATAAAGAAGAAAGTATGCTCCCCTGTCATTACTGCTAACCCTGGAGTTTGTGACTGCCATCTCTCCACACTCTTCTTCCAGCACCAGATCCAGCACAGGGACAGGCAAATGAAAGGTTCCTGGTAACAGGGGTGGCCTTACAGATGACAGGGAGCTGTGGGTGGTAGAGGGAGTTGGCAAGGATTGCTGAAAAGGGGAGGTGGGGTGGCTTGCTGGAAAGCAGAGCCAACAAGCTGGTTCTGGTTGCTGTGGTTGAGGCCAGGGATACAGGCCTGGGAGGTGCAGTTTTACTACCCTGGTTGACATGCAAGCGTGTGGAGGAGGGAATGCTAGCAACCCCTTTCCACCTCTCCTTTCCTAATGCCTCCTCCCTGGCTCTCCCTCCAGAGGAATAGCTCTGAGCTGGAGTGAAACCTACAGGAAAAGAGGGAACTCTGATGCAAGATATCTGGGCTTCCTCACAACAAAATTGGATGGGAGACAAGGAGCCAGAAGAAACCACAGCTCCTGTCTAAATCTCATTCCGTAGGGAAATTGAGAGTAGAATATAAGGGGACAGCCCAGGACAAAAAGACAATGTAGCCAAAATGATGGCTACATTGGGAAGAGGTGTCCCCTCCCAGGCCGCCACCCACACACCCTCCAAAGGAGCTCATCCATTTGGGGCCGAGTGGCCAAGCAGGGGAGAACAGATTCGCTGTCTTTCAGAAGGAAGAGCAAGGCCCAGAGGAGGGAAGAATTCACTATGGGCAGGCAGATTTTGGTCATCAGAGGAAAGGGCTCTTCTGAGTCCCGCTGTGGCACTGGAGTGGACTCAGCCTTCCTAGTGATGTGCTGAGCTCTCCAGCCCTGGAAATGCTCACGTGCAGTTCAGTCTTAGTATCCAGACTGAAAGACACGTTGGAGATCATCTAGACAAATCCCCATTTTCACCGGAGAAGCTGTCCTTTTTCCCTGGATTCCCCAGCTAGTTAGTGGCACAGCCAGTCCCCTCTAACTCACAGCCAGAATTATTTCCATCACCACAGAAAGGTTAGGCCATAAATACACATTTCCAACCCGAACCAGCTCAACGACTGTCCCTAGTCATTCCCTCTCTTGGGCCACAAGAGAAGGCACAGCACCACACCCAACTCTGGATAGAGGAGCTGATGCGACTATAGGTCAGAGTGTCTACTCAGCAAGTTGCTCAGTCACTTTGTCTGAGTTTCCCCAAAGCGGGACGGAAGTGAAGGCGTGGGAGGCCATGTGCCAGAACTTTGAACCTCGGCCCTCAGTCTTGGGTTGGGCACCTGGTAGTAATCAGAGTTTCTCCATTCCTATTCCCAGCTATTGCAGGGTCTTTTACAGCCCCTGACATTGTCAGTTTTACTTTGCTACTCTCATCCACAGTACGTTGAAAACCATCTCGCACAGCCATACCGATCGATGTAAAAAGGCAGAGACCATGTTCTCCTGTTTTCCTGGGAGGAAACTGAAGCATGGAATTACTAAGTGGCTTCGGCTAAGTTAAAAACAGAAGTAGGAATCTACCCGCTGCCCGCTCCACCGTGCTTTCTATCCATCTTCTTAAACTGGAGAGTTTGGGAGACTGCTCAGGGTTCAGATAACTAGCAGAAGGGGCGGCCACAACAGGCGAGGGAGGGTGAAGCGGGGAGGTGGGAGATTCAGAGGAAGAGGACAGGGCTGGGAGAGGAGTGAAGCGGGAAAGAGAGCGGGCTCTCCGAGGTGTTCTAAAAAGGACCCCCCCCCGCCCCCCGCCAAGACGCCGCAGGAGAAAAAAACGGAGTGAGCCAAACAGAAGGCGGTGGGAAGCTTGGACCGCGCGGACTGGAGCGCGTGCCTGGGCATGGACGGCCGAGAGCATCCCGCACACGAATCCCCAGCTCGCGCGTGGACCCCGCGGACCTCCACCCCGGGAGCCACAAGCCGGGCACGGCAGGAGGGGCCGAGTCTCTGCCAGCGTCTCGGCGGGGCGGGCGGGGAGCCTCTCTCCAGGTCGCTCTCCGAGGGGAGAAGCGAGGAGCGCCCCCCGGGATGCCCCGGCCCCACACCGCGGGCGGGCAGGCCGGGGCTCGGAAATTCTGCGCTCGGCCCCGCGGCTTCCCCCGCCCGCCGCTCTCCCCGAGTACGCGCGGGGCAACAACAGGCACCTGAGGGAGAAACGGGTGGGAAATCGGATCTGAGGATGGGATGAGAGGCGGGTCAGCCCAACGCAGGAGCCGCCGCTGCCCACCCCCGCCCCCTTCGCCTCCTCTCGGCGCTACTTACTCCGGTTCAGGGGGTTCCCGCCGACCTGGGCCGAGGCCACCAGTTCCAGATACAGAGTCCAGAGCCCCACGGACACCACGGCTAGCGCCAGCAGCAGCCGGAAGCGCCTCCGCAGCAGCTTCACCGGGCGCAGGAGGAGAAGGAGCCGCGCGGCCCGGGGGCTCCCCATGGCGCTGCGCCAAGGCGGCCGCCGCCGGCGCGGGCAGCAACCCCCGGAGCCGCCGCCCCCTGGCCCGGTCCCGCGCCCCGGGCGCCCCGCGTCCCGGCCCAGCGTCTCAAGGCTGCGCCGAGGCCGCCCCACCCGGCCGCTCTCCGGCGGGGCGCGGGCTCATGCTCCGGGCGCGAGGGGTCCCCGGGCTGCGCGGGCGCCCCGCAGTTCTCTCCGGGAGTGGAGCCCGGCTCCTCCTCCGCGCCTGTGCTCCGCTCCGGGCTCTCCTCGCCTCGCCGCTCCCGTCGCAGGCTCGCCGCCGCCCTCTGTCGCTGCGCGCCACCCGCCCTCACTCGCTGCCCAGAAGGAGGCTTCCCCGGCGCACGGCCGCCCGCCTCCGCCAGCCCGGGACTGGACTCCCGGCTCCGGCAGCTCGCGCTTGCCGCACCTGGCCCTACCCCGGCCCCGCCCCAGCCCAGGTGGGCTCCGCCCCCGAGAAGCCGGGGACAAGAAGAGGCAGCTCTGGCTTCCCTAGCGGAGCGAGAGGTGGGGCCAGAGACCTGGTGCCTCTGCCGACGGGGCATGGGTGGGGTGACGAGGGGGCGAGTGATGATCCGGACTCTGGGTGACCGAGGGAAACCGAGTCACCGCCCAGGCGCCTGACGGTGTGGCTTTAAGCAGAAGCGAAGTAGAGGCTGGTATGGGGGCGCCCAAGGCTTCAGCCTCTGAGCCTTTCGACGCCTACAGCAACGACCCTACTCTCTGCTTGACGAAACCAGAGTAGACGTGATATTCGTCGGGAGATATCACTGGACACTTAACTCCGACATAGCTTCGTCGTCCACCTGAGATTTGAAGACCTTTCTCCCCAGCCTGAACCACATCTCCGAGAGGCACCCACGGTGACGCCCAGCAAGCAGTTTTCCCAGACTGGTCAGGAATGGCTCTTTGAAGAGAGTATCTGCTGGAGGGTTCCAAAAATGAATTTTGAAAAGAAAAGAAAGGAGCTCACTCTTAAAGTTGAAAAGATCACCAAGATAAGCCAGGCACAGTGGCTCACGTCTACAGTCCCAGCACTTTGGGAGGCCAAGGCGGGAGGATCCCTTGATTCCAGGAGGTCAAGGCTGCAGTGAGCCGTGATTGCAGCACTGCACTCCAGCCTGGGCGACAGAGTGAGACCCCCATCTCAAAAACAAAACCAAAAAAACACAATATTCCGCTCCTCTGCCTTCAGGCAGGTAAAGCATTATTATCTGATTTAAATGAGATAATTAAAGTATCAAGGGCAGAATGAACTGCCCAAGGTCATTCAGCAGGTTACACTGCAGTTTTCTTTTCCATTATCTCTTCTGGGAAAAATGGTCAGGAGACTATGGGAAAAGAGAAGGGGTCAAAGTCTTCCTGGACATTTTTAAAGCAAATTAATATCACGCAAGTACTGTTCCAACACGGAAGTTCTCACTGAATTGAGAGCTATGTTTCCCTTTTCTCTGTTCTCACCGCAGTTGGACATTGTACATCGCTACAGGACTTTTCCTAATTAGCCTCCCCAACTCCAGGCTTCCCATCTCATCCTCTCCACTGCCACCAGGTGGTCTTCATAAAAAGCCAGGCATGGTGACACGCACCTGTAGTCCTATCAGGAGGCTGAGGCAGGAGGAGTGTGAGTCTGTAGTGAGCCATGATCATGTCACTGCACTCCAGCCTGGGTGACAGAGCAAGACCTTGTCTCAAAACAACAACAACAACAAAACCTCATGTATATCTACACACCTGTTCAAAAATATTTAGTGGCTTCCAGTGCTTATTGATTAAGGTGCACCCTGTAAATCCAGAATTCAAGGCCTTCCAGAACCTTTTCCAGCTTTAGGTGACCACGTGAAACCTGCTCCAGCTAAAATGAGTTTATTCACTGCCCTCCAACACATTCTCTTTTCTAGTTGGTCAACTTGTACCCTTTCTCCAAGGTCCATTTCAGAGTCTATAAAGCTTTCTTGGGCCAGCCAAGCCCTAAGTAACTCCTTCCTTCTTGGAGCTTTAGTAGAACTTGCCATCTGTCTCACCATCTGATTATGTTGGAACTTACTTGAAGTGTGAGTCTTGTTTTCCTAACCTCACTGTAAGGCTTCAAAAATGGGAGCTGTATTTCCAGCGGGTGGTACAACGTCCATTTAGCACTTAGGAAGGTTTGAGGATGAGGGTTGCACTTTGAGCAAACATCTCCCAGAACTTTCACTGTAGTTTTTGAGCAAAAGGTGGATCCAAAGGACAATTCTCTAATTGCAGGCCCTGGGGAAGGTCTCTGAAGTTCCAAAGCCACAGACTCCTGCACTTCTCATGTTCTTCTTTGTTTCCACAAGTCCAAGATAGGAGCAGCCGGCGTGTGCACAGCCCGTGCAAGCTCAGCTGAGTCATGTGGGAAGTGACCAGGGCCCCTGTAAATAGAGTCCCTCTCTCATTGAGGGCAACCCAACTGGGTGTTAGGCTGAGTCACTTTTAGCACTTTGTCATGGAAACAGGTGGCAGCCTTGCCACAATTCTCTTCTCAGACTGAGAAAGCTCATGCAATCACTTCAGTCAACCAAATGCTCGAAGCGTCTATTATGTAGGAACTGGGAGAGATTTAAAACAGGGAGCATGCTGTTTAGTTGAGGAAAAAAGATAGTCGACAGGAAAGAAACCTGACACTTTAAAGGCCAAATTTCTGGTCCAAAAGTGAATTCCAAAGAAATTTAGAAGAGGAAGGAGATCACCTTGTACCTCTGGATTTTTGTGCTCCTCTTATTTCTATTTCGTTTTTATAACTTGAGTAGATCATAACTTTTCTGGCTTACGGTGAGAGGGTGCCAGTTGTTGAAGAGAAAAGAGGCCAGGAAATTAATGTGGCTCTCCTCTCTCCCTCTTCTGTTCCCTTCTCTGCTGTGGGTGACACGTTGCCACTGAGATATCCCTCACATTCAGACCCTGCTTGCCCCACACCCGTTTTTGACTCCTAGTGATGTTACAACAGGGGAAGATCTGAATTTTGAGGCCCGAATTTCCCAATTAGCTGAGCTCCAGAACTAAGTATATGGATTGAGGCATCATGGTGGCAAATTTTAGTAGCGTAATATATTGTCACCAATGTCCATTGTCAGTGTGAATTTACCTGGATACTCACCAGTTCTTTTGATGGTTTTCACTGTCCTTTCACCCTCCCATTTCAGCTGCAGCACCTGACCCAAAATGGCCCAGGGTCACATTGTAAAAATTGGACCCAAAAGGAAAAATAATGTCCATTATACACCTGCAATAATGGTAGAAGGGCCTGGTCTTTGCTTGGCAAGAATATCAGAGGCAGGCCGGGAGCGGTGGCTCAAGCCTGTAATCCTAGCACTTTGGGAGGCCGAGGCGGGTGGATCATGAGGTCAAGAGATCGAGACCATCCTGGTCAACATGGTGAAACCCTGTCTCTACTAAAAATACAAAAATTATCTGGGCATGGTGGTGTGTGCCTGTAATCCCAGCTACTCAGGAGGCTGAGGTGGGAGAATTGCCTGAACCCAGGAGGTGGAGGTTGCGGTGAGCCGAGATCGCGCCATTGCACTCCAGCCTGGGTAACAAGAGCGAAAGAAATTCCTCCTCCTTAAAAAAAAAAAAAAAAAAAAAAAAAACATCAGAGGCAGGGCAGGTCAAACCATAAAGGTTCTTCTCCCAAATTACAGAGATTGTAAGAGAGGTTGACTGAAGTTTTCTAAAATATGTCAAGATTAGCACAGGGACCAGAAAATTCTGATTTGTGAATTCAGAAGGGAAGGGTGTTTAGTGACCTATATGTATGGTGTGGTGTATGCAGAGCAAGTCTTATGCTACTCTATAGGGATGTTGAAATACACTCAGTAACTCCAGTGACCCCTGTGCCACCCATCCTTTTCCCTAAAACCCGATACCTACATTATCAGGCAGCACCTTTGAGCTTACAGAGCATTTTTACATCTATATTACATGTGTTTTATTTCTCACAACCACATGAGAACAGATGGGGAGGTAGCCTTTGCTATTTACAGATAAACTTTGCAAGCCTCAGTTTCTTCACATGACCTATAAATGATAGAATCAGAACTGGAACCAGATCTTCAGCCTGCTGGTCCTCTTTCAGTTGTACCCAGAGACTTCCTCCTTCTCCAGCCTGATCTTCCATATCTGCATCCATATTCATATCTTATCTATCTCTATCTCTATGTATCTTATCCCTGTCTATATATACCTGTGTATGTGTTGGGCAGACTGTGTTCCATTACTTTGAGGCCATCTTTTTTTTTTTTTTTAGTTTTTTAGAAAAATGTTTTAATTTTTTTTCTCATATCAGAAAAAAAGGGGATCTTTAGGGGCTATGGAAATTACTAAATTTTGAGGCCATTTTTAAGAGATAAAAGAACCGTGCTGAGGCCAGGCATGGTGGCTTACGCCTGTAATCCAAGCACTTCGGAGGCCAACGTGGGCGGATCACCTGAGGTCGGGAGTTCAAGACCAGCCTGACCAACATGGTGAAACCCCGTCTTAAAAAGAAAAAAAAGCCGGGCGCGGTGGCTCAAGCCTGTAATCCCAGCACTCTGGGAGGCTGAGGCTGGTGAATCACGAGGTCAAGAGATGGAGACCATCTTGGTCAACATGGTGAAACCCCGTCTCTACTCCGCCCAGGAGGCGGAGGTTGCGGTGAGCCGAGATTGTGCCACTGCACTCCAGCCTGGGTAACAAG